CATTTTTTTTTATATATATATATAAAATGTGTGTGCGTATGTGTATATCAATCAATCAATCAATCTCTGAGGGGCAGTGTTCCACAAGTCAGCACATCAAAAAACGAGTGTGTTGGTCACTCTGACCAGCACCCTTAGAAGATCATATAAAGTGGCTGGCTTTCTAACCTTACCCTGAGAGCCTACTGTTTAGGGATGAGCTGCATGTGCGGGGGGGATACCCTCGGGCAGTCTGCAGCGCCCTGTGGTGGGGGACTTAGGGGCTGCCCTGCACCACGCAGGCAACAAGAATCCGCTGAATCAGTGACTCCACTCAGGGGAAACGGCGATTTCAGCAGGCAGGCTTTTCTTTCCCCCCTGGGAGCAGCGGTGCGAGGGTCACTAACGGCGCAACGCCGGGCAGTCCCCACTCGCACCGCGCCCCCCGTTGGGAAGGCGTGGTCAATCCGCTGGGACGCCGCCTCGGCCTGCATCACCAGGTGGAGCCCCCAAAGGGGCAAGACCCGAGGGTCGACCACCAGGTGGCACAAGCCTTAGCGCCGCCCAGGCATTGACCCCGCCAGCGAGGAGGGGAAGAAAGGGAGCGAACACTCGCACATGACCAAAAACTGCGACCGTGTACAAGTCAGGGCGTCGGCGTCGCGAAGCGTCTCAGTACAGCAAGTCCTCGTGCTAGCCGCCACCCTCGGTAGCGTCGCAATCGAAGTCGTCAAAGTAATTGTCGTGCATGGCCCACCCCCCAAGGTGCAGCTACACCGCTCAGAGCAAGTGTCCAGACTTTGACCGCATTACGGGCCGAGGGGGGTGGGCAATCTCAGATGAACATCCGAGACACGTGATATCTAATTCAACTCTGGCGCACTTTCTCCGAAGCCATGTGGAATTTGAGGTCTCATTGAGAGTGCTTGGTTCGGCGTCGTACAGGGTCCACCGTCATCGATGCTGTGGCCTGGCGAAGAGCTGTCTCCAAAGGTACCAGCCTTCGTCTGACTAGGTCGAGCAATCGCTGAGAATGGCGGCCTATGATGTTCTCCTGGCTGGCTGTCATCTTCACTGTCCGCTGCCCTTCGCCTTGCCCTTCTTGTTGCCCTCGAACTCGTCCAGTAGCTGCTGCGTCGCTCGCTCGAGAGGGCCGCGCGGCGCGGGCCCCCTCTTGATCTGTCCCTGCCTGCGGCAGAGCTCCGAGACCAGCGCATCCTGCACCTCCGAGTGTTTGGCGGGGAGTGCCAGCGAGAGCTTCACCATGCCTTTATTGTTCTCCTTGGGCTTCGTGGGCCTGCACTTGCAGTGCAGTGCTGCTGCTTGCACCTCCGTCGCGCCCTTGCCCTTGATGTGTGCCATCCAGAACGCCAGGATGAGGTCCTTCGTCCACTGCTCGCACGGTTCCTGATTGATGCCCAGCACCATGGCCATGAAGATGTGCACGTACGGTGGGCCCAGCTCTTCGAGGCCCTTCTCGTCGTTCTTGGACTTGAGCGCCTGGACCGTCTCGTGGTAAGTCTGCCCTGCGGCCTTCATGGCCAGCGCGACGGCGCCGTCGATGGGCAGGAGTAGGCAGATGAACACGATCCCTGCGATGTCGCGTAGCTCTGCCGCGTTGGTCAAGGCCAGCCTGGCGAGGACAGTGACGAGGCGACCGAGAACGTTGTCGTCCTTGCCGTTCCCTTGGACCAGCGCCTCGACGGTGCGCTGCTGCTTCTTCCTCCTGGCGTCGTCGCCCTCGCCCTCGGCCTGCTTGTGCTTCAGCGCGAAATTGGCGGGCTCGAGCTCCATGTTGTTCGTCCCGTCGTAGCAGGTCGAGCGGGGGCGCGTGGCTCTGCAGGTGCTTCTGGAGCTCCTCAAAGCTCGAGCATTCGTAGCTACAGATGTGGCATGTGCGCAGATCAGGGTGTGATCGTCCTCCAAGGTAGGGGGATCTGCACTTGCATACGCCGCCTCTCTTCACACTGAGGGCCACATGCTTCTGCGCCGCCACCACAGAGCCATACACTCCCAGGCACCAGGGGCAGGTGTTTGTTATCACCGTACAAGTCCAGGGATCCCGAAGCCCATGTTTTTGTAATCGATGCTGGTTGACCGACTTGAATGAAGTGAAAGTTTCCATGCATAAGCTCTCGTCCTCGTTTTTGCAGCCACACACCCAAGTCGGTTCTTGCTTGTTTTCCGTCTCTATTGTTGCCTCGATGACAGGGACCTGGGAGGGAGCCCATCCTGGTGGAGGCATCGCACACGCATAGGCTCCTTCGCGCAGTCGAGAGAAGTCGAGGGCCCCAAAAGCCTCAGCGAGGTCCGCGTCTCTGAAAAGCCTCAGAAAGCCTCCCTCCAGCTCCTCCTTTAACCACATCGTGTCGTCCCCCATCGCCTCCAGCCCCTCCAAGATGTCCTCTTTCACCCTCCTGGCCCACGGATTGACCTGGTCCCCCATCTTCAAGTCGTCCCCCTCAATCGTCGAGTACTTTTCGAAAGGGTACTTTCCGAAGATCGCCGTGAGTTCGTGATCGTGATGATGGGGCCTACTCGCTATTCGCTGGAGTCGTTTAAGTCGTCGCACTCGTGCCTCCAGCTTTGTCGGGGCCATCCTCCAGTACTTCAGAACCTCTGACGTCGACATATGTTTGTGCTTTTGCTCGCCCTCCGCAGTTGTCACGGTCGAATGAGCAGCTCCGCGCATCGCCCTGCGTGCAAATCTGGCCACGAGCTTGTCTAGCTCCTGCCAGTTGGCCTCCGTGAGGCAAAAGGCCTCGTTGCCCGACAGCGCTGCGTTCTGTACACAGCAGATGAGCAGGCCTCGGCGGACCTTCCACGGCGTGCGCTTCAAACTCCAAAATCTACCAAGTGCAAAATAAGCCTGTTCCACTGCCTTTCGCCGTTTTTTAAACTCTTCCCCGAACTTACCGTTTACGTGCAACTGAACTCCTAGGTACCGGGCGTGAGGTTTAAACTTAGCTGGCAGACGGACCCTCCCCGAACGGAGATCCCGAGCATCGTTAGTCGAGCCGCACCCAGCGAAGGCAGGGGGAATTTCTTGTTTGTCCCGATTCTGCCTACAGCTAATTGTCTCCAGCGCGCTATCTAGAGTGCTGTTCTCCAGAAAGCTTCGCTGGGCCAGTGATGCCAAAGACTCCGTGTCTTCGGCTACTAAAGATTTCAACAAGTCATCTGCATATTGGCACAACGAAAGATCCACATCTCTGTTGGTGAACGGGCTCTCTGCTATACAATTACCTACGTCGCTGCCAGTTTGCTTCATTTTTTGTTGCCAGGTGTTCACCCCTCTCTGGAAGGCAAGGAGAAACAAGCGCACCACGTAAGGGTCCCCCATAAACGCCCCACAACCGATCCGAAAAATCACCTTGCCTTCCTCGCCTGGCAACTGGACCACTGCTTCGTGGTACCTCTGGCGTCCGAATTGTTCTAAATCTTCCAGCATCAGTTCTTCCTGAGTGGAGTCAAACTCGTCCCAGGAGACGCTGCCGAAGGCATTACTTAAATCATGAAGGTGTGTAATACTTGTGCGTCCCTGTCTGCGCGCACGCCACATTGTACATTGTGCTACTGTGATCGCCGCCTCCTTTGAGCGGCCCTCTAGAAAACCGTGCACCTGTGCCTGCATCCTGGGAGCTACACTCTGTATGGCGTACCAGCCCTTGCCTAAAGGGGCCAAAAGGTGAACCGTCCTAGTACCGTCTGCTGTCCCCCCCGACGTGCGAGCCTCTTTGGACTTGGGGAGGGTAATTCCCTGGCTAAGGTGCCAATAGCTGGGAGTCCTACCAGATTGCCTAATTCTGAGCAGACCGTCCTCCAGAACAGCTCGGAAAAGCGGGGCACTCACGGGGTCTTCAGGGG